AGGAAGGAGATGAGGAGGGAAGGAAGGGAGGAAGGAAGGAAGAAGATGAGGGAGGGAAGAAAAGAAGGGGATGAGGGAGGGAAGGAAGGAGATGAGGAACGAAGGAAGGAGATGAGGGAGGGAGGGAAGGAAGGAAGGAAGAGGAAGAGGAAGAGAATGGCTTGAGTTGTTAGTTGGCTTTCCAGTTAAAATAGCTTGGAATCCCACATATGATCCCACATGTGTTTTGCCCCTGCTCACTTGTAAGCTAGATTGTTATTGTTATTACCCAGCCTCTATAAAGTTTACCTTCCGATGCATGCCAAAGAAAGTGACTTGATCACCACCTTCCTGGCAGATCAGTGATCTTGTTGCTTCCCTCCTGCTGAATCCAGCTTTTCTCCTGGGGCTAAGGGGAGAAGCCCCCTCTTCTGCCCCCCCAAGTATGAAGGTGAAAATATGGGTTTCCTGAATCTTGAGTAAACCTGTGTGAGATTTTTGTGCCTTTGGCAAGGACAGCCCCCTGGCAGTTATCCCACAATTTCTGCCATGATGGAAAAAGGCTTTTTTCTACCTTTCTGCTAAATCTTGTTACAGGACAGGGATAAATCGAGTTTTCTTCTAAACAAATCTTGTTTCACCTTCCTGGTCCCCTTTCTGCTCTGGACACCGACAATTCATAGAAGTGTCCCCAAACTGAGTTATTAATCCAATCCAAACCGAGTGTTACAGTCATAAGGAGCAACAAGATCACTAACATATTTGAGACGTCATATCCTAGTAGAGATTGCTGATACATGGAAATAGTATAGGAATTGAATCAAACAAACCTTATCAAAAGTCCACTTACAGTTTATCTTATGCTAAATTATAGTTGTCCAGCAAAGTTGAAATTTTCTTGAAAAGACAGGGAAGAATTTTGGATTGAAAAAAAGCTGAGATAAGGCTCCTAAAATTAAGCAGCTGGTTGAGATGAGTTATTATTATTATTATTATTATTATAATTTAATTTATATACCGCCCTTCTCCCGCAGGACTCAGGGCGGTGCACAGCATATTAAAAACAGTACAAATACAAAACATAAAAATACAAACCCCTGTAAAACCAGATTAAAAAACCGAATATTAGAAGCTGTGTTTCTATTTAAAATTATTTTTAAAATCACCCTAAATAAAATCCTCCCTAGGTCAGGCCCGCTTGCTGGAAAAGCCATGTCTTGAGGGCACGGCGGAAGGTAAGGAGATCCGGAATCG